GGGGGAGGGATCAGGGAGCTCCTCAGGAAAGGGGGGAGAGGGGCTTGCGCATTGGGATTGAGCTATCAATCGATGTCCCGTTGTGGAACGAGAGTTTGTAATTCCGCATAAACCACCAACCACTGGCAACCAGTACATTCGAAAAAGCAGATTATTGAGCCTCTCCTAAAAAAGAGGCGGCCATGAACTACCGATTTGTTTCATCCACGGAAGGTCCATGGCCTTCACATTTTTAGGAGAGGCTCAATCGGCTTTTTTGGATGTACTGGTGGTTTACACCACCCGTAGTACGCCCAGCTATTGATGGCGACTCTAAAATCGCCCTGTGCACCAAAGAAAAAGTCGAAAAACGAACCGTCGCAGGCCGTCTCCTTCTGGCTGGTGTCGCCAGCCATTTCGGCCCGGTACCCGACCCCCCAAAGATGTGGCCATGTACGAGCTGCATATTTGTTTTTCAAGCTGGGGAAAGTACTGGTCAATGGAATGCGGCTCCTGCCTTCCTTCTGCTCCGCTTTCCACTCTACATCTGCTACCCATCCCCCTTTATTGAGTCTTCTTTAAATGTCTGAAACTGCGTAGTAGCATCGTGCTCACATTCCGTGACCGAACCCGAACGTTCGCGACTTAATGCACGCGAACGAGCGCCAAAATCCTCCAAAGATGAACATAAAAATATATTTTGACAAAAAGAAGTTCTCAGAAAAATGATCAAACATCTGAATGTTATGTAAAACAGTAGAACAATAGTGCAAACAACTTTTGCCTGGGAACGCATGTTCAAATTATTAGCCAAACGCAAGTCCAAAATAAAAAACCACAAAAAGTTGGTAAAACAAAATAAACAGAAACACCATTTTCACAAAACAAATGTTCGACCGAACACGTTCGGGAGGCGTTCGGCTGAGCACCCGACCGAACGCGTTCGGGAGGCGTTTGTGAAAGCCCTGAACACGTTTGGTGTGCTACACAGCTCTGAAACAGTTTGCAACGTGTCCGTTTGCGGCTGAACAAGTGTTTCTTTGACATGGTCCACTGTGTGAGCAAGTCAGCTTGCAGCTCCTCTTTTTTTTTTTTTTTTTTTTTTTTGGACCATTTCTCGATTTATACGTGTCGTCCTTGCGCAGGGGCCATTTGCTAATCTTCCTTCTCTGTATCGTTCCAATTTTAACAGATGTCCCAAAGGACCTTGCCGCTCCTTTTGGTTTGATTGTCTCTAGTAGACTCTCTACTGAATTCAGCCTCCCCCATCTAGGCCCATCCATTTGGAGAACGCCGAGCGAGCTTTCCACCAGAGGACGCAGAGAACAAGGAAACATGTTCATGGTAAAAGTGTTGGCTTGTGGTGGCTGCCAGGCACCGAACAGCCCCCAGGGAGACTCGATTTCCATGTCCATTTGCCGCCAAATTGAACGTATCTTCCTCCAATGCCCCGGGAGCCATCCTGATCTGACGTAGGTGGGACTGTATTTGGCAGCAAATGGGCATGGAAATTGAGTGGCCCTGGCACTCGAGATTATTTTGCAATATTGAGAGTTACAAAAAAAGGAAAGAGAAAAAGAAAAGAAAAAAAGAAAAAGAAAAAAGGAAAAAAAGAAGAAGAAAGAAAGAAAAACTTTAGAAAAGAAAAGAAAAAAATTTAGAAAACTTAGAAAAGAGAAAAACTTCAAAAAAGAGGGGATAGGATAGGGAAGAAAAAGATTGGGGGGGATGGGGGGAGAGGGAGGGGGAGAGGAAGGATACAATGCCCCCTCTTCAGAGGCCAAAAGCAGGGTATGTCTCCTTCTCCAATTCCATGAATGAATAACCAACCATTCAACAATCTCAACTCAAACATTTCAACCAACTTCCTCCCCCTCCCCCCTTTTTCCCCCGATGGACCACGAATCAGATATTAACCTGATCAGAACAGATTTAAAAACACAGTAAAATAAAATTCTAAAATAATCAAATTTCCCCACAGTTCAGCACACACAAATGCAAGCTTTCTTTGTGCCATGTGACTGATGGCTTATGCTTCTTCTTGCTACACCTTGGAAGAGGCTATAAAGTATATACTATATACCATATACCAAAAAAGCCGCAATAACGAAATGTCAAAACCCCTCTGCTACAACCACCAAGTGGTTTCAGCTCCCTTCTCTGGAAGACACCCCAGGCACCTATCTCCTCGACCATTGAGAGCAACCATTTTCATCATCAAGCCATCATCTGCCTCCACTTGGCTCCAGATGGATCTCTCGAAGGCCATCGATACTAACACGGCGTACTTCTGCAAATGTATTTCATAGAAAATAATGTCCACATGCAGTCGCAAAAGTCCTACTTCTGCAAACGTACTTCATAGAAATAATGTCCACATGCAGTCGCAAAAGTCCTACTTCAGAACTTCTGCAAATGTGTTTCATAGAAAATAATGTCCACATGCATTCGCAAAAGTCCTACTTCTGCAAATGTACAGTGCGCTAAACCTTGAACTCCCTCCATAGCCTTTCTGATTTATTACCCTCTTATAAATGCTCTCTCCCATCCCACTCTCATCAGATCTCTTCTAACACATTTCCACGTCAATATATTGATTGCTTACTCACAGTTAAGTTGGGTTAAGTTGGGTTAAGTTTGTTTAACCCTTCAGCTTCTTCCTTATTTGCACAGGAACGACATCAACCACCACCTGTCATCACATCCACCACCGGCCAATCAGAAATAAATCAGAATTTCCGAAATCAGTCAATTCATTCAATTCACAATTAAAATTTAAATAAAATTTAAATAATATTAAATTGAATTAATTTCAACAATTATCAGTCACCAACCAGCCCGGCCTAACGACCAACCGAACCATATCACACAAACAGACAAAATAGTAAAATACCAAATAGTAAACCAAGGTGTCAAATGCAGAAAAACGAAAACAAAAAGGCCAAGGAAACAAAAAGAAACGGGGCAATCTCAACACCTAGGCTAAATCCAAGCCAAGCAAAGAAAATTTTCTGCAAACTTCTGACTGGAAAAATTGCAGGCACATATTAACTATTGTGCGGTAGCTTTCCATCAACAACTCTCTCTCTCTCTCTCTCTCTCTCTCTCTCTCTCTCTCTCTCTCTCTCTCTCTCTCTCTCTCTCTCTCTCTCTCTCTCCCCCCTCTGTGTGTGTGTGTGTGTGTGTGCGCGTAAAGCTTCCTTGGGTCTCTGCTACTCAGACCATCTCTCTCCTGTCAAGGGTATGGCAGCACAGGTGTCCTTAAACGAGGAGAACAAGAGAGAGTGTGGGCTGTGGTGAAGGTTATCATTTAAGGTTAAAAATAGACAGAGCTTAGTGCACACAAGAAAAGAAAATAATGCCAACATCCAATAACAAGAAAGGAAGGAGCTCGAAGTGAAAAAGGCAAAGATCGCAATGCAGGCGGGGTATAACTTCCTCGGGTCAATTAAGCAGGCAGGTGCTTTTAACAAACTCTGAGAGAGAGGAAAAAAATATGAAATAAAGAAAATGATAAAAATCACGAAACAATCAAAGATGCTATAGTCATGAATCTGGAGTCTGGACGCATACCCTTCCATCATACGACAATGATGCAAAAACCCAAGGATCTTTTGCGCTCCATGCAATTCCTGAGAAAGAAAACCACAGCCGTCGACAACAGCCGGAGCAAAGCATATAATGATTCCGAATTTCTAAATTTATCAAACAATGACAAACATCATATTATTATTACAAATTTTAATTCAATAATTTATTAATTTAACTTGAATTAAGTCGAAAATTGCAAAGTAACATGCACTATCACGTAGGGGAGATTATCTGGGCGCGCTAGTGACGGAGTTTGGCACATCTGATGATTTAACTCGATCTTTGGTGAAAGCTTATCAACAAGATTCAGTTATGTCTGAGATCATCCGTAAATTCATAGAGAAGGATAAAGTAACTTCTGACGAATTTACGATGGTAGATGACTTGCTGTTTCTTGAAAAGGCAGGGAATAAAAGACTATGTGTCCCGCATAGAGAGTCTCCTCGTAGTTTACTTTTAGGAGAGTGTCATGATGCAACTCGCCATTTCGGCTATAAGAAGATTTCAGCTAACTTAGTGCAGAGATTTTGGTGGCCCTCTATGATGCAAGATGCTCAAAGGTACGTAGAAACCTGCCAGGTTTGTCAACGGGATAAACCTAGGACTCAGGTTCCACTTGGGCTTCTCAAGCCTTGCCAATTCCTGAAGGTCCTTTCAGAGCGTGTCCATGGACTTCATGGATACTCTTGTGACCAGCAGGACTGGCAAGAGACACATCTTCGCTATAGCGGACCACGTTTCCAAGTATGCAAGACTTATGCCGGAAACTGGTAAAACTGACTATATCACCAAACTGTTTCTGGATAACTGGGTTCGCGATTTTGGACTCCCTACGTCGATAGTGAGTGATAGAGATGTAAGATTTACCAGCGAACTGTGGCAGTCAACAGCTTAGTAAATGGGCACCAAGCTACAAATGACGTCAGAGAACCACCATGAGTCAAATGGCCAGGCAGAACAGATGAACCGAGTAGTACAGCACCTGCTTCGGCATTATATCAAGCCAAGTCAGGATGACTGGGACGAGAAGTTACCTCTCGTCGCCAGCCTGTATAACAACGCTGTGCACAGTACTAATGGAATGACTCCCAACCAACTGCACCTTGGTTGGAAGCCCAGAACTGCACTTGACTTTCTGCTACCAGAAAGACAACCCACTACGACACCTGGCAGCATAGAGTTCGCTGTCAAGTACGAACAGATGCTACAGCAGGCCGTCGAACATATTAGAAAGTCTCAAGATGCTATGATTGCATCTGAGAATAAGCATAGACGGCCCTCTAACTTTCAGGTAGGTGATAGAGTCTGGGTCAAATCATCAGAATTGGGTCAGGAGCTTGGCACATCTCACAAACTGATGCCACAGTACTTCTGTCCTTGGGAGGTCCTTGACATAGTCGGGGATCAGATAGACGGACCATCTTATGTGATTCACATGCCACCTCACTTACGCATACACCCAGTTTTTCACGCCTCAGAGCTGGCACCTTTCGCAGAAACTGCACAGTTTCCTTCCAGACGGTCAATGCTGCCCCCAACCATAGATGGTGAAGTTGACATCGACGGAATTGTGGAGCATCGAGTGATGCCAGTGCCTAAACTGCTGGGCAGAGGCCGCCCTCCTAAGCCAAGAATGCAATATCGTGTCAGATTCAGACATCATCTGGATCCCAGCGAGGATCGGTGGTTCACCAGAGAAGAACTCATGCGAACAGCACCTCAAGTTATTGCAGGCTATGAAAGAGAACTTAAGAGGAAAATGCCTGCAGATTAGAAGACTTCTCAGAGGACTATCAAAGAAAAGGAGGGAATGCGAGGATCCTGGGTCCTAGGCAGGCCTAAGGGGCCCCTGCTGCAGATGTGCCCGCCCTAAGTGAAGGCAGGCCTAACAAATCACGAGAGGCCCTCAGCTGTCAATTTCGTATTTGGGGTCCAGGCAGGTTCGAGACGCGCCAGTTGGTTGAGGGAAACACAGGCCGGGCAGCAAGACATTCCACGGCCTTCCAGGCCTTTCCAAAAATGCAGGCCCTGGGCGAGAATCGCAGCCTCATACACAGGCAGTTGGAAGGCCCAACCGAACGGAGGCCCAGCAGCAGCATCGGAGGCACAGCCTCGTGGGGCCTACCAGAAGCTTCTGGGCAGAGGCCCAGGCCAGCCAGGCCGCCGAGAGAGGCAGTCTCTTTCCATATAGGAAAAAGAGCTCGCTGCCTGGCCAGGCATTCAGCACTTGCATGCTGGCGGCAGCGCTGCTGAAGCGGACGCTCATGGGCTGCTGCTGGTGCTGAGAGGCAAGATGCTAACGCGTGCGGTCGTGCAGGGTGCAGGGCGCTGCTGAGGGCAGCGCCATAGCACACCCTCCATAGTTGGATGGGCTTGGACTACAGTGAGGCGCAGGGGTGGTCTTCAGGTGTACAGAGGAAAGACGTGGGAGTGAGTCAGGGTAGAGAGAGAAGGATGATGATGATGATGATGATGTGGGGGCACATACCGGGTATTGGCGATGGTCTGCATTGGGTGACATCTTCAAGTACTTCGTGGGCTGCTGACGCCAACAGTTGCATTGTCAATTAGTAGGCAGACTGTAGCTGTGTAGGAAGTAGGCTGGGCGCCGAGCGCCAAGTAGGGAGATAGGGCCTGGACACTCATGTTGGTGGTGGCGAGAGCAAGCTCTCATTGACATTGGTTTTCAGTGTTACGATTCTTCATTGGTGTTATATTGGTGCATTTCTGCTTTCTGGACACTGTGATACTATCTGGCCTTCAATGTGATTGTGCATTCTGGACATTGTCATCTCGCTATTGCTCATTTTCCTTGCACTCCCACAAATAACAGACTTTTTGAAAGCTTTGATGAAATCGAAGCCGTGCCTTAAATAGTAAAAAAATTACTAAAAAATAGTAAATTACTAAAAATAGTAAATTACTAAAAATCTCGCAATCACCTCTCCCAGAAGTGCACAGTTTTGGTAAATTTAAGCGTGTGCCAGGGCGCCCTAAATGGTGAAATTAAGAATTCAAAACGGAAATTTTCACCAAAAAAAAAAGAAGTCAAATTCAGTTGCTCATATGACCATATGTGGTTAAACTGAGAACATGATGCCACACCAAGGGATTTGAATTCCTCCCCCCTCCCCCCCCATCCGTCAAAATTGGAACGATACAGAGAACCTAGACAAGATTAGCATGGCCCCTGTGCAAGGATGACACACATAAATCGAAAATGGCCCAAATTGGCAAATTATTAAAAATAATAATAAAAAAAAAAAAATCCATTGCACAATGGCAGGTTGAAAAGCTGCATGTTATATGAGGAAAAAAGGGTACAGAGAAGTACGCAAATTCTCCAAATTGCCCTTCGGGACATCCGTTAAATTTGGAATGGTTAAAGAAAATTTTAGCATGGCCCCTCCACACACACACACATACACACACACAAACAACAACAACAACAACAACAACAACAACAACAACAACAACAACAACAACAACCTCTACCAGACTCCCACAGAAAAAAAAAAGAGCATTCATGACCAGCACTTTGGCACTTTACCCACTGAAATTTGGCGATAAATATCGGAAAACAGAACCAATCAATTATCAACCTTGATGTCAACACACCAATAAGACATTTATTCCAGCAACCCGATTGTTTGTTTGCGAGCAAGATTGACTTGGTGGTGGATCGATGAAAAAATAATAAAATATGGTTTGATAATCGAGAGAGGACTTCGCTTCCTTTTGGCTAAACCCCACTCACCATAAACGCTGTCTTCATGCTCCGTATAGGCTTGTGCAATTCCATCTAGTGGGCCTCGTGGAGATCCAAAGGGGCTGCATCGGACACCAACAACACATGGGCACCATCCATATCAGCATCGCCGATAGACGATCGCAAAGAAGGAATGTCAATCAGCCATGACAAGCAACATGTTCAGTTTAAAGAAAAAGTTCAAAAAACACTGAAGGATTTTGGGACAGCGCATACCACACACACACATCATCATCACTCACTCACACACACACACACACACACACACACACACACACACACACACACACACACACAGAAGACACACAGAGAGAGAAGACACACAGGCACATATTAGGAAAAAAGCTTTACAACCATACTTGCAAGCAGACGGACCGGACGAGCGTCCGGTCCGGTCCGCTTTGCCGCGTGCGGCACCCTCCCCCCGGACCAGACGGACCCGGACCGGACCGGACAGGGCCTTTTTTTTTTTTTTTTTTGGGGKGGGGCGTAACTGGTCGTCGGGCGCACATTTGTGCGCCGCGCGGGTCCGGGCAGTCTGCCGCACGTGCGGAACCGCCCGGACGGCGTTCGCTTGCAAGTATGTTTACAACGGTGATAGACTCGTTTTCCCAGGGCTTCACCAGACTAGACACTCTGCTAGGATAACAAAGGTGGTGTGAGTGAACTCATTGAAGTCAACCAGTTCTCTCAAGCGTGTCTCAAACTTTAGGCGAGCTGGTGTGTCCATCATGGAGATCGAAGGGGCTGCATCAGACCCGAGTCTATCACGAGCTCATCCCAATGACACCCACTCTTTGCTATTCTGACAAAACTTCCTGTCACAGTGATGCTTGTGTTGTGGAGCCATGCTCTTGGAAATATAATTATGAGAGCAGGGGAGAGAGAGAGAGACACACACAGAGAGGGGGAGAGAGAGAGAGAGAGAGAGAGAGGTCTCTCTCTCTCTCTCTCTCTCTCTCTCTCTCTCACACACACACACACACACACACACACACACACACACACACACACACACACACACACATGCTCTCCCCTTCTCCCCTGTTCGCCCTTCTCTCCCTTGCCCCCCTATCTCCCCATCTGTGCACGATCAACAAGCAATCATAGGGCCGGACGCTGTCTCCTTCATTCTCAGACCTTTCTCTAGAGTCAATGAGATGTTCTGAGGTAAATAGACTTTTGTGGCATGTACATTGTACTCACCTCGACGGAGACTCAGGGTTCGGTTTCTCTCCTTCTTTTTCTGTGCCCTTGGAAGCAGCAATACTAGGGACACTCCAGAGGTTCACAACGGTATCTGTGCCTGCAGACTGTCACCGGAAGGTCAGTATGCCAGATGCATCACTGTCCACAGCAATCCACCCACGATCCTGGCTGTTGGATATACAAATTGAGGGTCTTGACCCAACTCCATGCAACAACCACAGAAGCAAAGAAAAAAATTCAAAAAACCGAGGTTGTCATAAACACCCTGTGCTACTCACGCACCGTGTGGTGCCCAGTAGGCCCTTGCCCACAGACGACTGTTCATAAAACTTTTAGGGCAATATCGCCCAGTGAAAGAAAAGACGGCCAGAGGTGGATGTGGCTTGCGTGCAACGACCAAAAAAGCTGGTGGTGCCCAGTAGGCCCTAATTTTCGGTGCTCTGAGCTCAGAAACATGTGGCTTGCGTGCAACGACAACGACAACAGCATTGTGGTGCTGGCCAGCCCACGCACATCTCTGCCACTTCCTTTGCTAACTTCTGTACCCGTTCCTTGCAAATTAATTACAGAGAAGCGTCACCAGTGTTAACGGGAACTCCCACTTCGAGCTCCTGGTTAATGGGTCCCAAATTTCCAAAAGTATGGTCTCCAGTCTATGAATTGGCGGCAAGTTTGGTTAAACCACCAGTACCTTTCCCAGGCATTTTGCCAAGGCGTGGCAGTTAACACGGAGGCTGCACTCGGCCTCCAACGGCGGCCAGATGCGCTGCTGAAACTCGGCGCGCCGCGCCCGCGGCTGATAGCTGGCAAAGGTACTGGTGGTTTAAGATGACCCTTGGGGGGGGTTGTTATAAATGGCCATGACTAATTGTCTGAGAATTGAGGCCTCCGTTAACCTGCTCTCCCTTCCCAACATGTTTTCAGCTTTTCACCCATAGCAACCATGGGCCATTGCTCCACTACTCTCCACATGCAGAAAATACAAAAAATATGTCGCTGTATCTTCCCATGTTCGAGCGCGAGATTCGTTCTCATTTTGCACATTTGGTGAGTAGTGGAGCGAGAGTCTGCGAGACCCATGGTCTGATTCTCTTGTAGCCTTCTGGACATCTGCCGCTTCAGCTCACAGCAGAAACAGGAAAAGACGGACAGTTCTTTAAACTTCCTTTTTTTTTTATTAAATGCTAAAGCAGAGACGAAAAGTTACCTCTTACATTTGTTTTTGTTTTTATTTTTATTTTTCCCCTCTTACATTTTGTTCTTTTTGGCTTCTTAGGTGAGAAGGGTGCTTGCGCCATGTCCTACAGCGCTGCACTTGGAATTGGGCTGGCTGAGGATGCTCGACAAGCTGTGCTTCCATAACTGGGGGGGGGATGTATATAGAAATTCACATGTATCAATCAAACATATTGGAAATAATTATCAGTTATTTAATATTAGTTATCTAGGCTACCAGAGTGGCCCGGGATCACTTGCCCGGCCGGGACAAAAACAAATAAAAAAATAAAAAATAAGAATTATTTTTACATTTTTTATTTATTTAAAATTTGGTAAAGAATTTCGATGTGACCTTGAGGCAAAAGTTGTTCAGTATATTATTCTGCATAACATAGTTTTTTTCCGTTTTTTTTTTTTTTTTTGCTGGGACCTTCCCTGGTCCTTGCACGGCCGGGACGCCTGGGAAAACAGGGTGACCCGGGCGGCCCGGCTGGTAGCCTGGTTAATAGTTATTTAATTATTAGTAATTTATTACTAATTATTAGTTATTTAATCATACATACATCAACAACGGTGGGCCATAGACCATCATGCAACTGGAGCCCTGCAAACTACTCACTACCGGCTTCGCCCGAACACAACGCACGGTTATTATAGCTGTATTTGCGACAAATTCCTGATTACCGTCTTCCCCCGAACATAACACACCCTGAAAATGAACGTATACAAGGTATATTCCCGGCCCGATACAGCCGAAATGAGGATGCGTTGTGTTCGGGGGAATGCGGTAGATGCAGAGAAAATGACTGCGCGTTCTATTCGGGGGAAGATGGGAATCTGAAGACAATGAATGAATGGAAAGAAGGGAAACCAGAAAGCAGACCAGGTTCAGAAAATGTGAACTTGCAAAATAAGTCTCTCACCAGGACCAGCTCATCGTAGAACGGATTGTACCGAGCTCTCCACGTCCTGTCCCACAACAGATGCCACCGGCCAAAAAATGCCCCCGACACCGATCCAACAGATAAATTACATGGTTCTTTTTTTCTTTTTCTTTTTTTTGAAATTTAATTAGTAAAAAATACTTGGTTTACCTTTCACTGCTTTCGGACAAACTGAGTACAATCACATTCGAAATGAGCGCATACAGGATTCCAAATCATTCCAACGATTCCATCCATCACTTGAATGCGATATCCATGGAATGAGTCTGTCGCATGATGGGTTTGCTCTCACATCCAGGCTGATAGCATGCATGCATCCCCTTTGAAAAGAGTTGTCCTAATGGCTTCATGATGTGATCATCATCATACAAATGCACTGAAGGGATACATAAAAACGATCATGGCGAGAGAACATCCTGTGCCTCTGGCTGCTGGGGGGACACAGAGCGTGCTGAATGCTCTCTCTCTCTCTCTCTCTCTCTCTCTCTCTCTCTCTCTCTCTCTCTCTCTCTCTCTCTCTCTCTCAGGTACACAAGCTTCTTCTCTATCGTTTTCCAGATGCATAGGAGACATAAGGAATTGAGAACAACACAAGAAACAATTGCTCTACCCTATCCATTATATTATACTGATTAAGTTAGATTAACTCAACTTTTTTTTTTTTTGGGGGGGGGGGGGGGGTAAGATAAACGTATATGAATATACATACATATACTATTATACATACGTAAAGAACAAAGGGATCTTAGTATCTTACCAATGTGAATGGCCTGGAAGCTCTCTCAATGGCATTCCCGTGGATCGCAAATCCCAGAAACGGATTCTCGAATCGTCGCCAGTCGTCATCTACTGGGCCAACGCCAACACCACAATAGGAAAGATATAAATGACAGAAAGATAAAAATGACGCAACAGGAAAGATGAGGATGCATGGCGAGAAAAAGCAAAGAATTCAAATTTCAAATGGTAATCCGGGGGGGGAACCAATGTGAAAATGATATTACCGCGAAGGCTTAAACACCATTATGAGAAGGCTGGTCCTTCGGGACATCCGTTAAATTTGGAATGATTCAGAGAAGATTAATATCGGCCCCTGAAGGGGGGGGGGGGGGGAAGAAATCATGCATAAATCGACAAATGGTCCAAATTTGGGGGGGGAAGGGAAGAACGTGAAGCCTGTGAAATCCAATTTTTAATTTTTAATTTTTAATCCTGAAGAAAATATTCCCATCAAGTATGTAGCAAACCGGTCACAGGGAGAGTTGATTTCGTTAAAAGTTGAAAGTTGAAACGGATATTTTATATTATTTGAACGTAATTGAAATGCACTTATGTGGCCATGAAAATGTCACCGTTAGTGTGAGGTGAAATTGAGAGAAAAATATAGCTTTACACTAAGCTACCAGATTGGCCCGGGGTCACTTGCCCGGCCGGGCCAAAAACAATTAAAAAAATAAAAATAAAAAACTTATTTTCAGAATTTATTTTTTATTCTAAATTTGGTGAAGAATTTCGATGTGACCCTGAGGCAAATGTTGTTCAGTTTATTTTTCTGCATAGCATAGTTTTTTTTCGGATTTTTCGGGGTTTTTTTTTCTCTTTTCTTTTTTTTTCTTTTTTTTTTGCTGGGACCTTCCCTGGTCCTTGCACGGGCTGGCCACCCGGGACCCGGGCGGCCCGGCTGGTAGCCTAGGCTTTACATTAAAAAAAAAAAAAAAAAAAAAAAGTCACAGTTTTAGCTCCTTAAGGTCCCCCTTGGATGTACCTGAACTTCAGTTAAGTCCAGATGGATAGTCAGGAGATGAACGGTGATATTTTTTGGGCCAAATAATAGGTTTCAATTTCCTTCAAAAAATATAAAATGTTCGTTTTGACGAAATCGTTGTTCGTCCCAGTAGACTTTTACTGCGCACTTTGAGCGGACTCGTATGTACCAAACCGCACGGTGATGTACATACATCAAAAGCGCAGGCATCATGTATATATGGCCCCAAGCTTCAGAGGAGGGGTCCCGTCCAGCAGTGGTGGTGGTCTGATAGAGATGGTTAGCTTGTTGTTGGCTATTGAGTGGAGTTTATATGACCTGACGAAAAATAGGAAGGGCACGTACTGTCACATAGTCAATTAAAAAAAAAAAAGAAAAAAAAAAGTCAATTGGGAATGTTCTCAACTTCTCAATCTTAAAAAGGAATCTTAAAAAAAAATGAATATCGTAGTCAAAGAAATTGGCGAACAATCACCCAAAAAAAAAGAAAAAAAAAAAACACTTAAAAACAAGTACAAAAGCCCAAGCGGGCTAGCTCAGTTGGTTGAGCGCGTAAGTGGTATTGATGAGGTCGTGGGTTCAATTCCCCACTTCCATTCGGTCCCCTGCAGGCCCCTGTGATACGCTTCAGGTTCACCAGGGGGTCAAGTCCCACTAGCAGCGTCGAGTTTTGTCAACGCCTGAATCTGGACGCGTTTGTGGAGATGAGCAGAAAGAGCGTTGAGTTTCCTCAACGGCACATAGCCACAAGCACGTCCTGATTCAGGCATTGACAAGACTCAACGGTGCTAGTGGGACTTGGCCTCAGTGGAGATAACTGGCTTGGCCTCCTGGCTGGTGTCTCCGCGCTTTCCAGCTCGCGCCAGGTGTTAGGAGCGGGGGGGGTTCTGCTCCCCGGATAGAGCAGAGTTGAGCAGAGTTTAGCAGAATAGGAAGGCTGGGATTCACTCAGGGGAATGTCAGGAGGCCGAGAATGCAAACCCATAACCCTTAGTGTCCCATGCTGCGAAGGTGCATATATAACAGGAAAAATAGCTGTGCCCCGATGAGAAGAAGACAGCTTAAAAAAAAAAAAAAAAAAAAAAGGTGCCCAAAAAAAAAAACAACCCTTTCTCTGTGAACTCACCATAGTATACTGCTTCTTTGGGTTGTAGTCAATGTCCCTCACTTGCATGGCATGAATCTGGTCCAAAGCCTGAACCTGCCTGGTGCACATGAGGACCACATACATGCCCATGATGTGAGCCGCCCAACAGTGCACGCATTGAACAAATGATCCCATTTTGATAAAAAAAAGTGACGGTCAAATCCATCTCATTGTTCTCCATTTGTTTGGATAAAATTGTTATGAATTTGGTCGTCTGTCGATTTTCATCAACACTCACACGCAGACAATCTCACGCACGCCCATACATACATAAGAAGAAGGGGAGAGGAGACAGAGTACACACTGCACACAGACAGAGTAACCAGCGGAAAACCACTATGCACAGGTGTGGAGATAACACTGAGTGTTTCTCACTCTCTGACAGTACTCCCAACAACCAATCATAAGAAGACACCTGCGAGGATAACAAAAGAACAGTCCAAGATTGAGCCGATCTGAACCAATATCGTTACAGAGTTTGTCACAGTATCTCGCCACTCACAGAACCACACACTCCACTCCCTAGACTACACCCAGTTAGTAGCGCTACACAACATCAGCCTCCCAGAGGCCTGCGCCAACCGCCCAGATGAAGAACAGGAACTGCGATGTAATCCTCAGTGCCGATGAGCAACTCTGACGAAGAAAGCTGCAGCTATGGCTGCAGCGCCACTGTAGATGCCACGCACGATCTCAGAGGAAGAGGCAGCGACAATGGTCCACCCATGAACACCATGTAGAGCCTCAGAATAGCCCAGCCAATCACAAGCACCCTCAGGGGTGAATGTTCAGAGGACGCCCCAGCTATGGCGAGCTCCAGAAGGCTGGCTATGGCTACCGTCCACGACGAGGGTCTCAGGATGCCGCCTGTAGGCAATCGTCTTCACCTTACTTGCTTGGCTCAGAACACTGCTACGCGAAAATGAAACTGCCAAAAGTCCTAACACTAGAGACTTAGTTCTACCTAGACACGGACTAGACTGACCGGCACCGTTTCAGTTTGGGCCTCTAGGGCCTCTACCTACCCGGCTATAGGCTCTCATGCTACGGGCCTAGGCCATAGGGCCTCCCGTCCTAGTGATAGCCCGGGCCTGCTATTCGCAGTGCGGTCTAAGGGAACTGCGGGCCTGTAATTTCCGAGAAATTACAGATATGTCCCTCACGAATTTCCCTCAGCACTGAACTCTCAGTTAGTCCCTGACACAAACAAAATTACGAATCTAACCCTACCGCTGTTACTGTACAGCCTCACAGTCAGATCTCGGCAGTCAAAATCAGCAAGTCATTGCAAAATCATAAAAGCTTATCTTTCCTCTATATCCCATTTTTGGATGAAAGTTCACATTTCCTTCATAAAGATAGATCACCCTTATAGACAACATACAGTGTCACACACATTACATATCAATGAAAAAAAAAAAGTATTTGTGAAAAAAGTTCAACAAACAAACAAACAAGCAAAGGGAAAGACAGCAAGAACAACCAAAAAAAGAAAAAGAAAAAAAAGGGCAGCCGGAGAGGAAAAGCAGCCGTTCAAGGCACACTGCAACGATTCTTTTCACCTTTCCTTTTTTGCATTTCTTTTTTCACAGTTTCTCATTTCTTTTCTTCTTTTCGTTTTTTTTTCATCTCCTTTTTTTTATTCCTCTGACACAGTCTGACTTGAGAGGCATTCAGTCATAATCCCACGCACTGTAGCTTTGCACTGCTGGCTTTTCAGCCAAGCACAATTGCCGAAGCAACGGTTGCTCTAGTGCAACGACGGTTGGATTACCCTTGCAACGACGGTGCATCCCTGTCACTTTTCATTTTGATTATGTGTGCCCAAGCATCGGGTTCCCCATGTATATGCGGTTGAGCACCCAAGTCCCCAAACAATCTATTAAAAAAAAAAAGCAGCTATATTTTGCAGCAGCTCTAAAGGCCTATGGGTGATCCTGACCCCACCCCTCTACTCTGTTATCCGCACTGGCCCAACACCCCATTTTGCTGTTGGCCATAGCAGCCAGCAGTTTGGCACAAAGAGACAAAGGACAGGAGCTGGCAGTAGAGGCAAAAGGCACAACACGGATGACGATATCATCATGACAAGAACGACCAAACCGAGAACTGTCAGTCCAACGGCGTTGAAAACCAACCCCACCAGGGGAAATGTCTAAGCGGTTCAACGCAGAATAGTTCAGTAGGGCAGTTCACGCGACAGCCATTGGACCCAACGGTTCGCACCTCAACCCTGATAGCACTTCGTTAACTTAAACACCCCCACCCACACCCCATCCACCCCCCACCCAACCCCTACCCACCACCCATCTTGCCAGTTTTGTCATGAACACGCATGTGTGCACTCAATGACAGGTCCAGGAAGTTTCCGACTTGATAATACTGAAGTGGGCGAACAGCAAGAAGCACAGCTTTTCGCATGCCGATTTCCTCTCCCAGCTTGCATTTTTTTTCCCCTTCATGCTCGTGCACCGCACGCATCCTGTGCGCTTGTGCGCCGTACACCGCGCAGTTGCCCGCACAGCGTGCGCTTGCATGTATTGTTCAGATCGATTGGCGATCCACAGTCCAGACAGAATGGTGGGCAGGCTGTGTGCCTCCTGCCTGGTCTGGGGTCCAGGACTGCTGGTTCAGACCACAGACGGGCTCGGCAGTGCACTGCAGACCTGGTTCAGGACGACGCCTGATGTCTCCAGGAGGGGACAACACAGTCCTGTGAGCCAACAGCACCATGAATAAACAGACAGGGATACAAACAGCTCTGGCCTTCATGCACCAGAAATGGCAGGCTAGCGCGGAGACTGCGTTTAGCATGTACTGGCCTGCCTGCATGGGGCCTGATACATAAATGATGGAAAAACTGTCAGGGGCGCCACGGTAGGGTGTCCGTCATGGCGAGGTCGGCGATATGGCCACGTGCACAATATAGCCAGGTCCCCCACATGCCACAGACAGCATGCATGCATCTGGCAAAGAATGTGCACTGCATTCATGTGGGTCGCAGAGAAAGAATGTGGCCAATTACTGTGGGTCACTGTCATGACCATCATCTGTCTAGTATCCCACCTCGACAACAACCTGGGCTTTAAACCACCACTACCTCCGATCCTGTTTCTGCCGAACTTGCATTTCACTGTGCAACGAGTTTGCCGAGGCTGGGATGTTGCATCCAAAAAAACAGAAGAAGAAAAAAAAAAGAAACCTCGCAAACGCCATGATAACCATCAGATACATTCGATGAGGTGCTAGGAGGACTGTGCCCTCAGTAGGGCGTCTGTCCGATGAACAGCAGAAACGAAGAGAAAAAAAAAGCATCCCTTATTATGCGGTGATCGCCGTCCGATACAGGGCGCTACAGTACTAGTCTGAGTATAAGGTACGTCGGGCAGTTACTTGCCCCATATTCCACGCCCTGCCTCGGTGGCAGGGCACCACAACCACGTGAGAAGAACAGCAAAAAAAAAAAAAAAAAACAAGAACAACAGCAATCACATTCCACACATAGTGGCCAGATACATTCCTCAAAGCATTGGTGTGACCTCCACCTCCATGACAGCCTTCCCCGATGTAGCTGGGCTCGAAGTTCGTAGGTTTTTTTTCTTTTTTCTTTTCTTCTTTTTTTCATTTCTTTCTTTTTGACCTCCAACCCTGCCCCAAGCCCCCGACTTCTTCGGAGTAGGCTACTTTTGAGAATTTGTGTTCTTGTTTGCCCGGGCAGCCCGGCCGTGCAAGGGCCAAAGAAGGTCCCAGCAAAAAAAAAAAAAAAAAAGATCTGAAAAAAAAGTCAAAAAACTATCTTATGCAGAAAATTCAAAATTTTTAAAAACTATGTTATGCAGAAAAATTAACTAAACAACGTTTGCGTCAGGGTCGCATCAAACTTCCTTACCAAATTTCCAAAAAAAAAAAAATGGAGTTCAATTTTTTTCTTCTTCTTCTTTTCTTTTTTGGCCAGGCCGGGCAAGTGGTCCCGGGCCACTCTGGTAGCCTAGACACACAGTATAGTAATACAGATAGAGATTAGAATTCAAACACAACGTATATGTAATCTGGCAAAGAGTTAAGAGTAGAACACGATCAGGACCGCGCATATGAGCTTACTTCATCACCCGTAGATCCCATAAGTTAACAGACGTATCAGATGCAGTGGCCAGCATGTTCACATCATGCGGATCCCATCGACCTGTCTCTAGTTGTTGAAGGTACCCAGCAGCTGCCTTAGCACGAACCTGAAGAATTCATAAAACAAAATCAGTTGCACGGCGACTCCGCGCACCATATAGATAACAACGAGTAATTTAACTTACTAAATGACCTGTTGCGGCTTCCCTCGCAAAGACAGATATGACGGGTAATGCATTCATGGTGGGGGCAACAGCCCCATGCAAACTCTCTCTCTCTCTCTCTCTCTCTCTCTCTCTCTCTGTGTGTGTGTGTGTGTGTGTGTGTGTG